CTGATATCTAAGACCATCGTGTCGACAAGAAAGTGTGGCACGACTCACCATTCTGTAGTTGGTTAGGAGACAATTCCTGCAAGATAACAAGAACAAATGAAAGCGTGATTGTAGGCTCGTAGCTCGTAGCTCGTAGGTAGATATGAAAGATAAATTGCCAGTTGCTATGCTTGTTATTTACAGGAACTCGATCAGCGAGTTGTAATTATAAGGAATCAGAATTTGTATAACGAAATAGTCACACAAGACTCCATTTATCTTAAGTCGCCATCACGTTCTAAAATGTTCTTCAATCCAAAAAGTCATCGAATCAAGACGAAACAACTCGTTCATTGGAATTAGACCAAGAAAATAGATCAATTCTATTTAACTCCAAAAAGTTTATAGTCACTCTTCTCTTCAATAGCTGTCGAAGTTTGGAAGAACTTCCAGATATCTCAGCTAATCACATTGGACTACCATCCAACTGTTGAACTGAATAACATTTAGAATTCGAAACTTTTGGAATATTAAAATATGTGTTTACGAAAACTTTGATAAACGAGCTCAGAAACCATAACAACTTTACTATTTACTCGCTATCCACGATGGCTGAACTCTGCCAAGTGTAAATAGTTCGAACCCATTCCTTTATCCAATAATATTTCTTCCCTAATCTATTAAGAGCTAGATAACATATTTCTAATTTAAACAAAGACACTTCTTCAGCAGCGAGAATAGATTCCTTGATGAATTAAAAGTAACAAAAGGACGCCTGTGAGATAAGGCGTCTGCAGGCCTAAAACATTCATCCACGGGATTAAACATCCAACCACACCCGTGAGTTTGTGTGTGTGTGCGTGTGTGAGAGAGAGAGAGCCGTTGTGAGTATACCTTAGTTTCCTTTAAAGACAATAAGTATGCAGCCATGAAGCAAGCAATACCATCTACTATATCCTCTTGCTTCACAACAACATACCCATCTTGATCTAGAGCATCACCACTTTCCCATAGATCCACATCACTGACCACATCCCAAGAACTACATTCTTCTACCATTACAAAGCAAAGAGGTCAAAAATAAAATGAAACAAATAATAGCATAAAGAAAATGGTATTTTTATCTCAACGGAGAAGGTCCTGTAATACCTAAATTTCGAACTTCACAAGCATAAACTACAACCTGTTTGCAATCCCTAAATAAAGCAATGATTAAGATTTGAACACGTACCTAACGTATTTTGCGGAACTAGTGCTTGAGCATCCTCTAGCTTTTCAAGAAAGTCGCGGCATTCAACTTTAGATTTAAGAAGATCGCACAACTGCGGAAAGATGTCTTTAAGTCAATGCCATGGATCATGATATTTATAGTACAATTAGATTCCAAATTCAAATAAAGCATTCCAAACAGCAAGAAACCCATATGGTGAAAATTTCAGAAAACTAACTCCATCCTAGAATTTATCATGTAGGTAGCTGTGTTGGGTAGGACGTGAAGAAATGGAAATAGCATGCATTCCCTTTGCCCCGTACTAAGAGGTTCCATCCCCCGTATCGCATCCCAGCCCTGAGATATTGATATTAGGAGTGGGGTGCTTGAGAAGGACCAATCACAGGCAGAAAATGCATCCATTCCATCCATGTACGTATCAAAAACGAATGGAGGTCATCAGGCCCCCCTTTTTATAACTACTATTGTAGGGCTCATCTATGGAGTTTTGTATATGTGGTATTTAAGGGAGAGAGAATGTGTTATTAGTGATTGCGCTTGTACTTCCATCTTTTTTTCAATGAGCTTCCTATTGTTAAGAAAGACCGAATGGATGGAGGATCCTAGTTTCCATTTTCCAGGAAAAACATGCCTCAAGAGATTGTTGTAGTTCACGTTTTCTTCAGGTGAATTGTAACAGCACAAGCCCACCACTAACAAATATTGTCCTCTTTGAACTTTCCCTTTTAGGCTTCCCCTCAAGGTTTTGTCTGTCAATGAGAGGTTTCCACACCCTTATAAAGAATGTTTCGTTCTCCTTCCCAACCGATGTAGGATCTCGCATGAATGATATTACTTGAGTTGCACTTATGCCCATTATTTGCAGTAAAGACTTCAATCGAAACAAAAACAAACAGATCCAGAAAAAAAAAACATACATAATAATGTTTTCATTACGAATTGCTTCCAGGAAACTTCAAACCAGTTGTTCTAAGCAACTTCAAATCGATCTTACACCAATGCTCAGCACAATTCATAACACTAGAGCATCCTGAAGCTGAACCGGGAAAGACTAGCACTAGAGTTGTGGAAGGATACACAGAAAACAACTTCGATTCAACAGCATATGAGAAGCTACCACAAGCTAATAGACCAAAAACAGAACATGTTCATCTTATCTGGATTTCAATCCCACATATTCACAAACATCGCGCAGAATTCTTCTAAATCAGATAGAATAGGAATCAAGCTAAATTCAACCAAGAAATCCAGCTAAAAACTCTGAGATTACAAGATTTTAAGAACCAAAGAAAACCCCCATACCTCGTCGGCCTCTCGGTCACCTCGCACAGACTCCGAACCCTCACCGAGCCGATCATCTTCATCTTCACCTCCATCATTCCCCTCGCTTTCATCGAGCCCGTTGGAATCATTAAGCGATTCGAGAGCTCTCTGACACTGCTCCAACACAGCCTGCAAGGTCTTCTTCTTCACACGAACCCCATCGCCAATTGGACCCTCAAAATTCTTCCTCTTACTATTATCGACGAAATTGGACTTCGGTTTAGGCACCTCAGCATCCATGCTCTGGCGTGAACAAGCTCCGTCCGATCCTCAAAGACGATTGTTGGTTTGCTTCAAAGCCATGTGGATCGTCTTCTTCCCGCCGTCCGGCGAAGAACTTGGAAGGCCGCGAGAAACTCTTTGTTGCTTGTGGACTAAATTTTGATGGCTGCTTCTGGGTCTTAGTTTCGTGTTGTGCTGCGAATTATTCTTGCTTTTCCTCACTTGATAATCGATATGGTCTTCCGCGTAAATATTTCTTTTTCTCTCTCTATTTTACTGTTAGTATTTATTTCAATTATAAACTTTTAAAATATTTAATAAATAAATATATTTTTTTTATATTTGATTTTTAAATGAATAGATATGATTTTTTTTTTCTTTTAATTTCTCTTTAAATACGACTCCCCACAATGGTACGATATTGTCCATTTGAACATAACCTTGTGGCTTTGCTTTGAAGTTCTCTAGAAGGTCTTACACCCATTGAGATGACATTATTTGATTATAAACTGATGATCATTCCTAAATTAGTTGATGTGAGACTTTCATCCAACAATTCATATATTTTTTTTTAAATGTGGAAATTGAATGAAATAGGCCCTATTAAATCCGTGAGTCGAAAGCTTCGGCTTTTATGAGAGTGGTGAGAAAGCTTGATTGGATTATGAGATTAGGCTTTCCGTACGGAACACCGTCTCTTTCAAGTACAAAAACCCTGCTCGCATTTAGATGGCGTTGCTATCAACGGGCAGTCGACAGCCTCCTCTAGTCCAATAATAGGAAATCCACGACGTTGAAAAAAACTCAAACGTGTTATACCTGAAACTCCCATGTTTACTATATTTTGATTTGTTTCCAAAATAATGTGTTGCAAATCTCGTTTAGTATTTTAATTTAGTTTACGGTTCGAGAGAAAAAAAAAAGATTTAAGTTAAAGAACAGATCTAGTAAAGACGAGGCGAGCCCTATAACTTAAGGATTAGAACACATGACTACTAACCACAGTGTCAGGATTAGAATCCTTCCTCACTCAAATATAATCGCGAATAAAAAAAATAAATGTAATGATTTAATTGAATGAATATAAAAGTTATAAGGTTCGAGTATGATTGAACGTTTTTCTACATAATATTGGTTGAATACGCGATTATTAGGGACGAACTCGATGACCCAAAAAATACATTATTGGACCAACAGGCTCAAAATAGGCAAAATTGATTGAGCTAAAGCGGGCCGAGCACATGTGGGTACACACCTCGCATGCTCACAGCCCAATAAATTATGGGAGACGCGGAGTTCAATCTAAGAAATCTTGACCTTTGTATAAATAGATTATAAAAAATCATCGAATATAATTTAAATCTCATTCTCTCAATCCGAACCTTATAAAGATTTATCATCACAAATTGTATTATTTTGAGCGAATTTTAATAAAATGACTAAGACACGTATTTTTAATTATGTTTAAATAGACACGATCCGTTAAATTTTAACGTTTTTGTGGTAAAAAGACCAAAATACCCCTAAAAATACAACGAATCATGTAGACGACATAATTATTATATATATATATATATATTTATTTATTTAAAAAATAATAATATTTAATAATATCCTATTTGAACTAAAAAAAACCAAAAAGTAGAAATGATTTTACTTTTTAATTTTACATATTTTCACTTAAAAAAGGTTGGAAAAATTTTAATCATGATGCCTTTTTGATAAAATCGTTGATCGAATCCCGGCCGTCCACGTCAGACACAGATTATGGGGGTCCCACGATTGTCAATTCCAATGGTAGTCCCTGAAACACAGGAACAAAAGCCAAACGACCACACCGGACAAACCTCCAAAAACAAAAGTCAGAAGACGGAAATTACGGAAAAGCCCTTCTGCGCCTCTTTCCCTCCAACACGTTCCTGGAGCAGAGAAGGAGCGGGAATTGGGGTGACGTGTACAACTGCCGCCCATTCGGAGACCCCGCTCCGAATGGCGCTTGCTTGACCAACGGACGTCCGTTGGAGGAACATTTCTGGTTCAATCCATCGCAGGAAGAGAGAGAAAATCAGAAGAAAGAGGAAGAGAAAGAGCCAGGGAGAGAGAGAGAGAGAGGAGACAGAAAAGGTTCACTTTACGCTTCTTTGAAAGAAATTCTTTCCCTCTCTCTTTTGCTCTTTTCAAATTCCATTTCACGAGGTATTGTTTTTCGAGTCGGTTGTGGTTTGGAATAATTAGAATAATCCTGCATTATTCTTTTCGTTTCGCGGAATGAAACGCATTCTGTTCAAAACCTTGATTCTGTTTTTTGGTTTATCTGTGGATGTTTCAGCTGCATTTTGATAATGATGATCAGTCTTTGTTGCAGTGATTTTCAGTCGATTGATTTGATGATGGATATGGTGCTCTGATTTGAGGATACGACGATGACTAACCGAAACGCCGAGCCTTTTCAGGTTTTGTTTTGTGTGTAACTTTTAGCATTGAGATTACCGAGTTTTTGATCGGTGTTGCGTTGCTTTCTCTCTCTCTCTCTCTCTCTCTCTCTCTCTCTCTCTCTCTCTTTTTGCATTCCGGAATGTTCGTGGTGTTTGTGTTTAGATGTATTCGTACGGGCAGTGGACTTGAAATCTATCTTTTGATGTTGTGTTGCAGGGAGAATCCGACGATCCTCCGCCGCCGCCACCTCCTCCTCCGCAGGATCCTGCTGATGGTTCTTGTGCTGGAAACACGGTCAGTTCTTTTTTTTTTTTTTTTTTTTTTTTTTTTTTTTTGTATTTCTTTTTGCACTCTGGATTTGATTTTTGTATATCCAGAGTTCGTCTTATACCGCCTATTGCTTGATGTTGAAATTTCACATATAAGCTCCTGATATCGCATTGCTTGCTCGCTGAGCGTTCTATTAAAATGATTGTTGAATGGATATCTTGGACGAGAGGATTAACTCCATCGCTAAAGACTAAAGTAGCGAAAATAATGAATGAACTTGATTTGGCATCCGTGCGATGCAATTCTAATGCGTGATGGAAAATAAGGCTGCGGAATTCCTCGCAAAGCAACTCGAGGAATTAGCATGTGGTGGTTTACTTATTTCTTGGAACAACACTCTATAAAAGGCTGCTTTAACTTCCTACCTTAAGAGAAGGGCGAGTGCAACGACTGCAATAACATTAGTTGAGGATGAGAAGATAGTTTTGATTAGCAATCCGCTACCTGATTCAACGAGGGATGTACAGAAATTGGACTTGAGTTAGTAGCTCTCAATCACAAACCAAATGGATGTCAATTGGATATGTTTAGTCGAACATGGAACATTGTATTTGAGCTAGAGTGTTTGTTCCCATGTTGTTACATCATATAACTGGTCTTCATAAAGAGGGATTTGATTTTTTATTTTTATTTTCATTTGTTTCATGATTTTTTGGAGATGGAACGAAGCGTCTACTCGAATCCAATAGAAGTTACAGAAACTCTTTCAGCTGGAACATAAAAGAGGAAGAGGGAATTAATTCCAATAGTGTACTCGGCTTGGAACAGTAACACTATTTGGCTTAGAACAATAATGTTGGTAACTTCTTAGAAATTTTTTAGAAATTTTTTCTAAAAGCATGTGAGGGATGATAATGCATGTTGGAAAGACTTGTATTGGTTTGTAGAATAATTTACTATTAAAAGTATATCAAGTCAAATAGATAGCCCTTAGTTTGCACGGGTGCAACAAAATGGGGAGCCGCCCTGTGCTAAATTTGAATTTCAAATCTTGGTCCAAATTTCGGGCTCAAGACCTTACTGTTAGTCCCTTGCGCCAGATATGCTCCGGCACCAATTCAAGGCAAGGTAGAAAAAAAAGGTTCTGTATAAATTGAATGTTGATTCTGTTCTTTATATTGGTTTAAGTACAGAGTTTTTAGTTAATAAAACGAAAATTCAGTTCGTCTGCCGCTGTGAACGTTAGATGAAATGATACAAAAGGGGAAAAAAAAAAAAGAAAAAAAAGAAGAGAAGAATGTTTGGCATCAGCTGTAATAATCAAGGAGCTAAGATTACTGAGTTTTGCAGAGATTGAGGCAAAAAGAGTTTTGGGCTTTAGCGTTTAGTGGCTTTGATATTTATTAAACGGCACCGTTTATTGTATCTGGTCTACGTTGAAAAGAACATTTTCTGTTTACCAACAGGACTTAAGCCAGTAACAAGGCATGTTTATGAAGGCTCACAACTTAATAAGCAATATAGCTATCTATTTATCACGAGTAACTGGGTATTTTTTTCTCATATATTTTTTTCTGATTACTTTTAACCAGGTGTCTCATATAAATATTATCATTATGTTTTTTCATCAATTCTGGGGGAAGTTTTAAGCTACGTACCTGAAGTGTTTGACTGTATTGCAGGTTTTCAAGAGTGGGCCACTTTTCCTATCATCAAAAGGTGTGTTTATTTGAGAAATATTTTGTATTAAGAAATAGCAAGAACTAAGTAGGATACACCTTTCATATTAGACGTTTAGAGCATCGATTCTTCACCATAATGACACATGTTGATTTTTATTCCTTGAAGTTGGAAAAGCTAACTCACTTACCCCCACACGCGCGCGCACACACACACACAAAAAAAAAAAAAAAAAAAGACTGGAAAAACAAAAGACAGGAAAAAAAAGGGAAAATGGAAATATTAACAGCTGCTTGTAATTTTGTTCCTACCATATACATATACATTGCTCTTACTCCTGTAATATACTTAGTTGAATTGATAAGCCTTAATCACTGTCCTTAAAATCAGGGATTGGATGGACGTCCTGGAAAAAGAGATGGTTCATCCTAACACGTACTTCACTGGTTTTTTTTCGAAGTGATCCAGTAAGTGGTTTCCTTTTTATATTTGATCATGCTTTTTAGGGCCCAATCGTGAATGCTCGTGTTATTTACTGCCGTCAGTTAGTAGCTTGATGCTGTCAGTATTCCGGAAGGAATCGTGCGTAGGGATAGTTAGTTATCATTTAGGTAACGACCTAGAGTCAATAGAGTTGCAACCCTCTGAAACGGCTGCCTCTACGGTGATCTTCACAATATTTTTTATTTCCATATTTGAATATCCTCCTGGGTACTTTGTTTCTTTTTTTGAAAAAAATTCATCTTGGATACCTAACATCTTGTTATAGTTATCTTCGAGAGTAGTTCTATAGAGATATAGACAATTGGATTTCAACTTATTTCTTTTGAACTTAAAGGTCGAAAAGAGGTAGCTTTACTGAAGGCGTAGATTTATCTTTTCATCTTTGCCCCGAGTCTGATTTTGAGTTCCATTTAACTCTAGGTGATTTAAAGCTAGCCTCATGACCTTGTTTCAAGTAGGAGGATGAGACACTTGGAGTTACTAGTTTGTCTGTCACATAAAAACAACCTGAAGCTATTGTAATATGACCTTTACTCTGTAATTTATATGCACATGATACATGTGTATGATGTACTATCTACTATGATTGATTGTTTTTCTTTTTAACTTGTGAATTTTTGAGTTTTGAACTTTTAGTCTGACAGCTGCCCTACCTTTCAGAATGCTGTTCCTCAGAAAGGGGGTGAGGCGAATTTGACTCTCGGTGGCATTGATCTCAACAATTCAGGCAGGTTAGCTTGTTTTCTGAATTTAGATGGTACTTACGTTATCTCTACAAGGAAACTGAGGTAGCAAACTAATTTAATGGTATCACCCTACATTTTCAAGTGTTGTTGTGAAAAGTGAAAAAAAACTCTTGACCGTGCTCTTTCCTGATGGTCGAGAAGGACGTGCATTCACACTCAAGGTGCTTTCTCTCTACATTCTTTTTTCTTCTATCATTTCTTTAGCCAAAGTGTAACTTTTCTCTTGACCTTTTAGGTTCTTCATTTTTGGCTTCTGTTTTATCATTTTGGTCACTTTTCCTAGGTTTGGCATACAAACTTGTGTATGCTCATTATAAAAATTTTCTATCTTCTTCCATTTAATTTGTCTTAAATATTTGCTTGTTAAAATCCGCAAGTTAAGTAAAGAAATTAGTGTCATGACTCATGAAAATTTCTGATGTTAAAGTCTTGAATTGCATTCTTAGATATTTTCTTTCTGAAACAATCGTTCTTAGAAATAATTCTAAGCGTATTTTGCGTTCTGATATAATTCTGTTTTAGCTTGGACTGCATTCCAGATTATAAGCTTCCTCTTGGCATTCTCTTTCAAAGTCTTTTGATGGGTTTTCTTTTCAGGATTTTTGTTTATTTTTGGTTGCTTTTATTTCACCTTTCTTTTTTATTATTCTTGTTTCACTCTCTTGTGGAGTTTGTATATTTTGAGCATTATTCTCTTTTCATTTATTCAAGAAAAAGTTTCGTTTTTTATCAAAAAAAACCTGGATTCGACGGATAGTGAAAGTGAGAAGATTTGAAATGAATCAAAAGTAAACGAATTGTGTTTTTATTTATCTAGCATGTACCTCACAGCCTGCTGCACCATTTGTTGTCTAATGTTGCAGGCTGAAACATTGGAGGACCTCTATGAGTGGAAAGCCGCACTGGAAAATGCTTTGGCACAGGCACCCAGTAGTGCCAATGCTAATGGTATCTTGAAGAATGATAAGATGGAACCAAATAATGGGTCTTCAGAGACGTGTATGCTATTTTCATCTATTTGTCTATAGACACCACTTAGTATTGTTATTTTTGTTTCTATTTCTATTTCCGGTGTTTGTGCAATTCTCTTTATATTTGTCCTTTTAGCTTAACCTCGTAAACTTTATAAGAGAAGTTTATAACAGTTTCCTTTGAACTGTACAAGACGTTTTTATCATTCACGTGGTTACATTTGCCAGAAGCTTTGCCTTTGCCTGCGTTAAGAATACGTATATTCTGCTTGGTTTTAACTGTGGGCTTGCACAGTCCTTTTTGGGTGATGCATGGCGAACGTACCAAAATTTAAGAAACTTGATGATGGAAAAACTGTTATTCCTAATTAAATAGTTATACTTGTTAGACATTTTGTAAAAAAAAACTATACCAAATAGTTATACTTCAATGATTTTGTTTTTCATGCTTTTTTATTTCATTCTTATGGAGTTTGTCTTTTGAGCATTAGCTTTTTTTCGTTTTTTTTCAATGAATTTTTTTGTTTGTTGTTATTATTTTTTTCTTATAAAAGTGAACTTTATCAAATGCGACTGGTCTGTTTGGTTCATTCTTGTTTGACGCCTGGGTCTTCAACTAATTGGGCCTGGTTGTAATATGTTTCAACTTCAATAACTTGCACGCTGTTCTTCATTTTTCGCCTCATTGATGATTTATTGATGTTCTCTCTATGTCTTTTCTAGTGAAAGATGGCCAACCACAACCTGGAAGACCCAGAGTCCTTGGTAGGCCAATTTTGCTTGCTTTGGAAGATGTTGATGGAACTCCCTCTTTTCTGGAGAAAGCCCTTAGATTTATAGAAACCCATGGTAAATTAATCTAGATTCTAGCCTATGAAGACATCTTTCTGTTAAAAATCTTATATGATTGAATTTTTGAGCTAATGGATCTGAGTTATAATATTAGGAGTCAAAGTAGAAGGCATTTTGCGACAAGCTGCAGATGTTGACGATGTTGAACATCGTTTGCGGGGATATGAGCAGGGTCAGTTATTTGATTATTATAATGATCATCTAGATTTAATATCCATTATATTGTTGATAGCGTCCTGTTGTAATTATGTTTCATTCCTTAGTTACTAACGAAATTCACGACTTTATTTTCTCTCCTACTGATGCGATGAATTGTACATATACCTTCCACTTTTCAAATTACGCACAAAAGAGTAGGTGGTTGTTGCTACTGTGGTCTCTGGAGTTTTTTTACTTTTTGTTAGTAATGCATTTTTGTCTTTACACTTATTTACTGGCTTTACTGACTGCCCTCTTCTCATTATTTTTAGTTGGACTTAAGTCTTATAAATTAAGATTTAAAATAGTTTGATAACAAAGTCCTTATCAGAAGCATTGTTTGTTCATGCTTTATTGATACTGCAGGAAAAAACGAGTTTTCTCCAGAAGAAGATGCACATGTAGTGGGTGACTGCGTGAAGGTAGAAAAGTTATTCAAAATTTGAATACGGCCGACGGCAGTTTTTTCTCCAAAAAGTTGTTGCCTGCTATAAAAGTTTTCTTCTATCTCATGTTTTTTTATGCAATATTGCAGTATGTCATCCGGGAGTTACCATCATCTCCAGTTCCAGCATCTTGCTGTAACGCTTTACTAGAAGCAAGCAGTAAGTCATCGGAGCACCTAATTTTAATATCTTAAATAATTTAAGTTACCAGGTGGACAACAAGCATGCATTCTTTCATATGAAAAAGCATGACCTATAGACTAGAAATGATGGAAGGATAAAAATACAGATGCAAATGAAAGGTATTCAAGGTGACACATTTTAAACCAGGATCATTCTCAATGGTTTTGTTTTCATGTACGTTATACAACATTTTTTTTTTTGGTTTATTTTAATATAAATAAATGTGAAGCTGTCATTTTCACCTTTTAAATTTCTACTAATGAATGTTCAATTCTCTTATAAATTTCAAGGGAAGACAAAACTTTTTTGAGTTTGGGTTTTCGTCTTTCTTTGTCTTTCTTTTACTTTGATCCTGCTTTCGTTCTTTCATTCTTTTATTATTTATTTTTGTGAAAGAGAATTCTTGTTAAATTGAAAAGTTGATTGCCAACTTCAGCTCTTTATGTTTGTTAAGGTCATTGCTTTGGAGAGAAGAAAATGAAATTTACAAACTGATAGGTCCCAACCTCTACTTTCATTGATCAAAAGAAGGAAAGAATACAACTAGGAGTTCTAAAAATAATGCCTTCGACCTCACTCTTCTTTTACATCGGCTAAATCCCAGTTTTGATCTGCCTAAATCCCAATCGTTAGCTAACCTTCCTTCTCCCTCACTAACATGGTTTCAGTTCTAGTCTCTTTGGACATCGGTGCAGTTTTCCTTGTCTTTAACAAGTGAAATATACTTGGAGCCTATTGCATACACATCTGTTTAGAAAGTCAAATTTTATAGTTTTTTATGGGTCATGCACTGGCATTTTCTAGCTCTTAATTTACACTATCGACTGTATTCTTGCGTAGAGGAAATGATACTTTTTTTAACTAGGCCAGTATATCGTGTACATCATTTCCTTTCATGTGTAACCTGACATATTGAGATTACAAAAAATATATTACCACAAATTATGACATCAAAATATTTGCATGGAAAAACGGTGAAAAGAAAAAAGCGTGGCAATTGATGTTGATCCAAGAAACTTTGGAGGGTATTGACTGCATCAAATTTTCTTTTCTAACATATTACTCAATTTGCACCTAGGCTGAGGTTTCGCCAAAAACATATGAAGATTTCCTAAGTTAAACTGGGTTTTGGAGTCTTTCTTTGAGCGATCTTCATCTGTCCAGTAGTTGCTTTTACCTGGTGAACTTATAAAAGCGGGTGTTTTCTCGTTGCATTGGTAGATTTCTAGTGGTTGAGGTCTGGTTGGACAAATTTTCCCAAAGTAAAGTGCGTGGACTTGAAAGGATCGCATCTTAACATTTTCCTAGTTTTCTTGACGTTTGGAATTTCAGCTTGAGACGTTCCTCCTGGCTCTAGCATACGAAAGTTTATTCCTAAGTTGGGATCTTGTTGGAAGAGTTCTGATCCTCAATCATGGCCTGCGTTTAAGTGTTAGAACTTGATTGTATTCATTTACTTTTTTGGAGGTTCCCTCATTTCGCGTTGGCCTAAAGGGAAGCTCAAATCTAAGATTCGGTAATGTGCAGAGCTAAAAAGCCTTCCTCTGTGAGATTTAGAGTTCGGGTGAAATTGAGAGTTTAAATGAAGTTAAATGAGCTGGAGGTCTCGATTGTGATACGAGGAAAGGAAATTACAAAAATAAAGGAAGTTCAGGTTTTGTCTCTAAACGAGTTTCTGTTACCACCCTGGGACAGTACAAGTTTACTGAAGCTTGAAATAAAGGCACTTTTGATGATGTTAAACCATTGAAGTAGATAACTTGCTGGAAACAACGTCAATCATATTCTATAACATGCTTGGATCACATCACTGGTATGTGCACGAGCACCTACGTACTCACACTATGAGAAGCAAAATTTGAAATTACAAAACCAGATTGTACAAAGTTACTTCTAGGAGGGTAAGAATGCTTTCAACAGAAGAAGAAAAAAAGTAAGAACATGATAAACAGGAAGATTACACCTATATACTGTTGGCCGATTTGAGAGGGCCGAATTCTCCCAAGAGGCATATGAACTCACCAGATAGAACACACTAAGCTAATTGTATCTTAACTTATTTTATCTTTGTGATCTTTTTGTTTTTGTGTTTCACACGGTATCTTTTGAATATCAGCCTCTTTACTTTTCTTCCGTAAAAAGTTTGTTCTTGTTAGAAAAATTATTGTCCTAAAACAACTATTGACAAACCCAAAAGTGACTAGGAGTTGCATCCTTGACGTTTCTACTCTTTCAAGTGTAAACTTTAGTTATGGTAGGTCTAACAGTTTTGTTTTGTTCTTTTTTTTTGTTTTTTGTTTTTTTTGGAATTTCATTCTCTAGGTTAGTAATAAAGTTTGGATATTTTATTCTTTATTTTTTATAATCTTTTCAATGAAGTTTCTGTATTTCCTAACCATTTCCTTTTTCTTTCTTTCTTTTTTTCTTTTTTAAATATATTCTATTCTTCTTATTTTTGTGTCGTACACTTCATACTAGAAACTGAACGAGGTGGCAGAGTCAATGCTATGCGATCTGCAATATACGAAACCTTTCCAGAACCAAATCGCCGTTTACTGCAGAGGTAGCTATAGCCCTTGCTTTGTCTATTTTGCAACTTTTTTTTTCTTTCTATTTAACTTTAAAAGTTGATGAGAGGAAATCAACCTTGATGATGTATGCTATCAACCATATTTATGATTTATGTTTGTGAAGTATGTTCATCTTGTTACTTCTCTGGGACGGACTATTTGGTAGATAAGATTCATTGTGAGGCTGGCTTGATTGGTATTTTCGCTAGTTTGTACAAACATTCATTAACTTGAACGTTGGATACATGTGACGGTTATGGGTGATAAGATAGGTCATGCATTGCTCGGGAGTACAGTATAATTTTTTTCTAATATACTACACCCAATAGACCTGTAGGTTTGACCGAGAGACTATTATGATATTGTTATTTATTTATAATTTTTTTGGATAAGTAGCAGAGATATTCCCATAGACAAAAGAAAAAAAAAAAAAAAAAAAAAGAAAGAACAGAACAAAAACAAAAACAGAAGAGACATCCTAAAGGCCTTAGGGTGTGGAATCCCTAAGCGTTAGGGGTAGGTGCATTAAAAAGACGGGCCTCCAATCTAGATCGATGATGAGAAGGGGAATATTACAAAAAGATTTGTGGGAGACACACCCAGTGGAGACCATATACTGTACCTGAACACAAAAAGGATCTACTAAAGTTATGATATGTTCAATGCATATATGGAGAAATAGACTTTTTATTTTATTTTTTTGATATCTATGATTGTCCATGCTAGCTTGTGCGCACCACTACTAATCTCATAAGAGAACCGCTAGATCCTACTACATTTGGTTGGCAAGGTACTTCATAGGATTTCAAATCTTAGGTAGGTTGGCACCATGACTTGAACTCATTCCCGGCCCTTCTTGACCACTAGGCTAACCTATGGTGATTTTCTTGGTCGTGCCCCTATTATTTTCTTGGTTATCAACAAAATACTTCTAGCGATATGATATGGAAAATCCTAGCTAATTGAGTCTAAGAACCTTTCATAAGCGCCTAGATATGTAAACCCTTAGTTCGAAAATGAAAAAAAAACCCGCAAATCAATTTGAATTCATTCCCAATCTCTTGGAATTTGATCTAACAACTTTATTGAAGAATAAGACCTTTAGATCTAAATATCCAAGAACCTCAAAACGATAAGTAATCACTTCAAGGGAAATTAAGATTGGGACCTTGTTGATCGAATATCTCAAGGCAAGAACACTTGTTTGAGATTCGAATCACTCTACAAGCAAAATTGATCATGTGAAGCGTGAATGATTCTAAACATGCAACCTAAACTACGTAGAATTGTAAAGCCCTTGGCTAAAAGAAAACGCAAATGCTCATTTTCTACATTTTCCAAATCTACATTACAAAGACAACATACATGGCTTTATTTAGCCTCAAAATGTAAACCTTTGATCTTCCATGAGGCATTTCAAGTGTTGTAACTTTCATACTTTATGGTCATAATTAACCACTTGGTAAATGAAACCTTAAAATAAATAAAAGGTCTTAAAATACATTAATAAAATACCATAACTCTAGATTATCATCCACCTAGAATTTGTAACCATCCAAGAATAAATGAAGATTGATTCTTCTTTAATGTGCCATAAATTGCAACTTGAGTTTATCTTGTGGTAATTTGAACAACATTTTTTTCACATCTTTCTTGAAGTACATATTGCATGATTGAGATATTTTGGATCATATCACGATGGTTATATTCCATAGTGATTTTTTTTTTTTCATTTTTCTACTTAAGGATTTTTTTTTTTCCATCCCCCTTTTTCGTAAAATTTTAGCTTTTAGATCCATCTTTTTATTCACAAATTCTTTCTTATATTCCTGCGACAGAATTCTTATGATGATGCAAACTGTGGCTTCTCATAAAGCTGAGAATCGAATGAGCTCTTCAGCTGTGGCAGCTTGCATGGCCCCCTTACTCCTTCGTCCTCTTTTAGCTGGTGATTGTGAAATTGAAACTGATTTTGACGTGGGGGGTGATGGTTCCATTCAACTTCTTCGTGCAGCTGCCGCAGCAAACCATGCTCAAGCCATAGTTATTACTCTACTGGAGGAGTATGACAAAATTTTTGGGGTAACTATTACATTTGTTCTTATATTTCAAAATTTCTAGTATTAAGCAGATATTCGTAGCATGTAATGAGAAAGATGTCATATAATGTTGCATTTTTAGATAATAGTTGGTGGATTAAATGCATTTCTTTTTGTGAGTTTTTCTATGCGCAAGCGTGTGTTTCTTAGCCTAGTTGAGTTTTATTTACTGACTACTAATGATTTTTATGGTTGATCCGAAAAGAGAAAATAATATTTCAGAATTAGGCATATTATTTAGAAATGTTTCCCCCCTCATTACAATGTGTATGGCTGAAAATAAAATAAAAGAGAAAAAAAACTTGCTATAATCCAAGGAGTCTAGTTTTATATATTTAATTATCATAGTTCAAAATAGTTGGAAGAATAATCACCTTGTAATTTGAGATCCATAAGTTACTAGTGTGATTGCAGGAAGGTTCTATGTCCCCTATATTATACTCTGATTCAGAAGAGAGTGGAAGTGAGAGCGAGGAGGCAAGTGATGGTGATATGTCTTATGATGATGAAGAACAAGATGATGCTACTGGTTCTGATGTGGCAACAGACGATGAGCTGGAATCAACTGGAACCTGTACTGAGAGTGTCGGCTCTGGGGAGCATGATTTATATGATGATAAGGCACGTCTCTATACTTTCTCACCTCATAGAAATTTGATAAGATGGAAGTATCACCATCATTCTATAAAAATCTGACAAAATATTAATATCACCGTAATCCTATTGTACTACTAATCTAGAGTTAATTTTTTACCATTATTGCACAAAAAGATTTATTTTATTCAAACTTTACTTTCCTGTTTTACCCTTGGGGGGTAGTGAAGGAGGTTCAATGCTGGATAATCAAATTAGAAATTCTACCAATTTCTTTGTTAAAATAGGAGGTAAAATCTTATTAGACGCACAATATGCAGGAAATTCAAGATCCCCGGATCATATGCTAATTTTTTGACACCCCTTTCTCCCTCACTTTATTGTATCGTTATTCAGTTTTTTATTCCAACCTAGCCTTCTAATCAATCTCCTTCCTCTATGGCTACTGGTCCCGTTTACTGATACTCTCAAACATCCATGCATGTGAGGACAAAAATGCCCTTTTAATCGTCACTTGACCCACTGTCCCTCCCCCTAATGTAAGTCAGTTGGACCTTTGCTTCTTAGTTATCAGTAATCTTATAGGAAGTGAACTTTCCTAGGGGTCTACGGAGAACGTCTTATAATTTATAAATATTGTATTTGTGTTTTACTTTTAGTAAACTCCCCCGAGGGGTTAGGGGGTTCTAAAATCCAGTATTTGAAAATCACTCTAGAGGCTTATTCAGCACATCATATCAAATAACTTGATTCAGATGCAAATAATTCAATCCCAAGTTAACATTTGTCGTGTTTTGAGATCTGATATCTTGCTTTTAGAATGGTTCATAATGAGTTCCTTGATATTAATTTTTAAGTTTCCAACTTTGGTGGGTCCATTGATAAAGTTTATTTAGTGTCAGCTGAGAAATATGTCAATACCTGTTCGTACTACACTGCAGGGTTCTGAAGTATTGAGTACTAGTTCGAAGAATTCCGATATGTGTGATGTAAATGGAATGAAGCCAAAGTCATCAAAGGAGAGAATCCATGACAAAACTGATCGAGGTAGGGGTAGTTCACCAATTAAGGATGAGAAGTCCTGTGAAGTTGAATGTGCATCCGAAAGCTTTGAAGGTTCTCCAACTACATCTAATAAAAGTTCCAACACGACAAAGCGTCTCACCATTTGGGGACGCACGCCTGTGAGTGAAACTCTTTTCTCTCCCCCTTTCCTGCCAACGTTTTGCATCCCATTTTGTTCAACCCTCATCATCTTCCTAAAGTGGGCATCATAAGAGTTTTAGCTGTTGTTAGAGATTCGTCTGAATTTTCTTCTTCATTTGTTTCTTTAATCTAGCATTTCCTTTTTTCATACACCTGCAGGTAGTTTAACAAGCTTTATTTTTTTTATACAAGCGCAGGCAAAGAAGAAACTCTCCTTGGAATCCATTGATTATGATTTCGGCGAAGAGTAAGTGATGATCATGCAAGAGTCCTTATGTTGTCTGAATTGTCAACACCGGTATAATGTATATTAAGCTACCATAGATTCTTTTTTGTTTCTTTTCTTTGGTGGGTGCGGGAATGTTTTTTGATAGGAAAAGGAAATAGAGAAATATATAAATCACAAAAGAAAAGACATCTTACGGGCTAGGGTAGGGTTCCCCCTCCCAAGGAACTACACAAGGAGAGATTTCCAATCATTGATTGTTATGAGGAGGCTATAATTACAAAAGTACTTTTTGTGATTTGAATACCACCAAGAAGCATGCCTTGACATTTCTGACAAAAGAGTCAAAAGAATACTTATTTTTAAAAACGCTTTGGTTTTGTTCCTTCCATAGGTGCCAAAGGAGAACTCTAACCGCACAATTCTAAAGTACCTTAGCTTTAAACCTTTGAAAGACAATCCCCAAGCGCCTCACAGAGCCAATGTTCCAGAGTTTACTGGAGGCTAATCTATAAACTTAGTTGCTCCATCATAAACGACCAGGCCCCTTGGGAAAAGGACAACGAATGAAAATTTGGCCAATAGTCTCCTCATCTCTGCAAAGTCTGTTCACCGAGGGAGATAAGGCCCTACACGGAAAATTCCCTTGAAGATTTTCTGCCGTATTAATGCTTCTGTCAAACACAGATCAAGGGTTGAATTTTGACTTTCTTTGGTACTCAAAACTTCAAAATGGGGGCGGGGCGGGGCGGATGTTAGTGGAGGAATAACCTTGTTTCCTTTTTCTCCCTAGTTTTGGCACCCATTTGGACAATAATGTTTTTGAAATGGAGTTAAATAATACGTAGAGGGGAGGGGTTGTTTTACAATGATTATTTATTTATTTTTGGCAATTTGGTATAGATTAGTATCAAGACTATATGGTTTGGTTTTTGAAAACTGTTTTAATTTTATTATCAAGTATCGTAAGCCAAATTGAGGAATGTGGATTGTAACTCACAGTCTTTGTAAATATTTTGAACAAAAGTCTCGTGAGTTTATTTAGGGACTAGTCTTCCAGTTAAGGACTGGACATGACATTTCCTGATTATGTCATTTGTTAGTCTACATAATCTTATAATTCTTAAGGATTTTGTTACACTGAACTTTTTAAGTCCATAGATATAAACTGAAAATGGTTTTGGGGCAAGGTGGTATCGTTTGGATTGAGTGTTTATATTTCATGAGATTTTTCTTTTGTATATATATTTGCTAAGTCATCAGTTATATCATGAGACATAATTTTAGTTTTTTCAAATAATTACATTATTACTTATCTTGACCTTGACTTCTTGGGAAATGATTATCTTTGCACTTTCTTTTCTTCATTATCCGATGTCTTAAATGTGCTTTGACAACATTTTGTACTTATTTCAGGGTTGAGATTCAGAGACTTGAGGCCACTAAATGTGAACTGCAAAATAAAATCGTGGAGGCGGTATAGGTTTTCAGTGCCTTTAGGTGTTTCTTTTCTAGTTTTTCAATCTTTATATTAATTCAATGTTTCTGATTTCAGGCGCGAGAAAATGCGATTCTCCAATCCAGTTTGGAAAACCGAAAGAAGATCTTGCAAGAGCGTCGTCTAACTCTTGAGCAAGAAGTAAACTCTTCATGGGCCATTAATCCCACCACTCTTAGTTTTATTTTATTTATTATCTAAATGTGATTAATGTGTCTAAGTTAATCGAACTGAAAATTACAACCCTTGTGACTCTTTCAAAAAGTTCTACTTTTCTTTTCACTTTCCCGTAGCAATAATACCAGTTTTTTGTGTGTGTGTGTGCGCGCGCAAACTATCATAGATTGACTGAGCAGTCCAAATAACAAGAGGTTAGTTTGGATACCTTTTAGGGTATAGTTCAGGTTGTCACAGTAACCTATCTAAGATTTTCTTTTTCTTTTTCTTTTTCTTCATTTGTTTCTACTAACTGCCGTAGGTTAACTCAAAGGTTGGAGATCCAAGTTGTTAGTTTGGGTACCTATTAGTCTATATTGGAGATCCAAGTTGTTAGTTTGGGTACCTATTAGTCTATATTTTAAGTTATGATAGTATATCTAAGATAATTGATAGATTTTTTTTTTTCTTTTTTTTTTTTTGCTTCATATGATATGAGGTCAAACTGTAGTTCGGACACCCACTGTTATATTAAAAAGTTCAGCATTTGTATGGTCAGAATCAAGTGATTATTGATGTCGCAAAGTTAACTAATGGGATAAAAACTTAATCATGACAATTAATTGAATGTTCAGGTAGCAAGACTAAGAGAACAGTTGCAAAGGGAGAAAGATCCCTCAGCTAATGTTAGTGAAAAGGTCAGTTTTTCTAATGCTTTTAATTTTATTTAGTAGGGTTACATGACAGATTGCAATGCTATAATGTGTTAGCTATTCGTTTAGACAAAGGCAGATCTTGGAGAAAGCAATCGAGGCGAGAAAGACACTGCCAATATAAACAACACAATGGATGAATTTGTAGGACTGCTTAATAGGATACGTGATCAGAAAAGTAACCTACCTGATTTACGTAATGTCTCCCAACAAATGCAGAATCATCAAACAAAATTGTAGGTTTCTCTTTTCTGAAAATTATTCTCCTTGTAACCATATCATAATAATATTTCTTACACAGGTCAATATTCCTATCTTTTTCAACTTTTTTTTATGTGGATAGTAATCCTTCGTGTGAGATTAACAGTTCAATGGGTACAGGAAGGACAAGAGGAAGGATGCTGGAAGTTTAGTCCCTCCTGAACACTCCAGAAATAAGGTAAATCACATTTATTTGGTTGTCTGTACCTTTTCTATTTGCTTGTCTATGGCACTTTCGACTAGAATTTAATTGATATTTTCACAGCTTAGAACTTGGACTATCTGCCGTTTGTTTCTTTCCTTCCACTGAAATTGACCATATCTCAGAGATTATTTTCGTCAATTGTAGAGTTAGTTTATTAATGAGACCGTTCGTTCTGGCCTAGTCCTTGGATCAAGATTGAACTTACTAACTCCTTACTGATATAGATAATATCACTATTATGACCTTACCTGAACAGGATATGTTCTATAGGTTGTACAATTATGCCTCGAGTTCTTAAGATAATATCACTAGCTGTTATTCTCAAAGCATGTCTCCTCCCTCAAATTTTGTTTTTAGGCACCTCATCTGCTCTGTCCAATTCTCAAAATGCGTTTTTCCATCTAGCTTGTCAATATATTGTTCACTTAAGTCCACTGTTGTGGTTTTGCAGGATGTTCTTTCCGGTCATGCAGAAATAAGTAAACATTCCCCTCTACACCAGCATCTAGATCCTCATAATCCCAGTGCCAAAATAGGTGTATTGGCAACCAATTTCGCAACGGGTCTAACCAATCCTAAGAGGACTGGTGCGAGGATGGAGGTAGGTTGTTTTGAATTCTAATGTTTCCCCGTTGACATGCTTGTTTTGTGTTACTATCGCTACTAAATCATTTAGAGCTTTGGAGTGTGATGCTGAAACTTACTTTTCCTTGTACGTTGTTCCGCAAAGCAAATATTGTTTTTGCTCGTATTATATGTGTTACGGCCCAAGCCCACCCTAGCAGATATTATCTTTTTTGGGTTTTTTCTTTTAAGATTTTCCTGAAGATTTTAAAATGTGTCGGCTAGGAAGAGGTTTCCACACCCTTATAAAGAATGTTTCGTTCTCTTCCCCCCAATATGGGATCTCACAATCCACCTTCCTTTGGGGTCTAGTATCCTCGAGGACACTCGTTCCCTTCTCCAATTGATGTGGGACCTCCCAATTTGTCCCCCCCGTGGGGCTCAGCCTCCTCGTTTGCACATCGCCTGATGTGTGACTCTGATATCATTTGTAATGGCCCAAGCCTACCTCTAGTAGATATTGTCCTCTTTGGGTTTTCCCTTTCTAGCTTCCCCTCAAGGTTTTTAAAATGCATCTGCTAGGGAGAGGTTTCCACACCCTTACGAAGAAAGTTTCATTCTCCTCCCCAACCAATGTGGGATCTTACAATATGAGTTGATTATGCCTTGTAAAAATGATAACAGTGTCGTGTGAGTTGCAAGTTTCATACGTGTTTGCCGAAATAGTGGATAGCAGCAATGATGGATGTCAAACTGCTTGTCGAGTTGATCGTTTATTCTGTCACAATGACCAATACATCGTTGAACTTTCCTGTAGAAAAACGTCGGATCGGTTGGTAGTTATTCACTCATTCTAACGTCTAGTCTGTGTATGTTTCAGCTGGGACCAAATCACAATTCTTCAGCACTGACGAAACTGACGACCAGACTCAACTTCTTGAAGGAGCGTCGCAGCCAGATAGCAAATGAACTCCAGAATATGGACCGGGGACGAGTTTCGGGCCAATCAACCGACGGTTCTGAAAAGGGCAGGGGAGTTGAAGCTCAGCGCTCAGTCCAAAACTCAGATGACACTAAAGGGTCTGCTGACAATCTCCAATCCATTCAGGACTTCGATAAGCGAGCGGGAAGCCAAGGCAGCCAGCCCCAAAAATCAGATGCCAGATAAAAGGATGAAGAACAGGAGGCCAAAACCAAAGCAGCATTTTGGATATAGAGAGGAGGAAGACCAGAGAGTCAACTTGGCCTTAATACACAAAAAGGTAACTTCAAGGACAAGTAATAGAATGAATGATGATACTGGCGGAGAGTGTTTTAAGATTAAGAAAGATATCTTCTTTGGAGTTGTGAGTGAAGAAGAAGAATGAAAAATGCCAAGATGTACAGATGGAACCAGTTTCTTGATCAAAGCTGCTGAATTTATTTGCCTTTTTGGTTTTTATTTTTATCTTGTATAGCAAGGATTGTCCCACTGTTGTGATTCCATTTTTTTTTTTATTTTTCTAAGCTTACCGCTTGAACTACTACTATGCCTACTGGTGGCGGTTACCGACCAATCTCAGCTGATTAAGGCATATATTTGGCCAAAATATTGATTTAAATTTTCAATGTCTCGTATTGTTTGAGTTAATAAAAAAGAAACCAATTTGATCTGAATTGTGTACTTCGTTTATTTCAGTACTAACTTAACTAGTTTGAGTGTAATAGCTTAAGTTTACTGCTAGCTGATATTGTTTTATTTGAGTTTTTCTTTTCGAGCTTTTAAAACGCGTCTGGTAGGATGAGGTTTTCACCCTTATAAAAAATGTTTTGTTCTCCTTCCCAACCAACGTGAGATCTCACCATCCAAATTTTCTCTTTCGAGCTTTTAAAATGCGTTTAATAGAAAAAGGTTATCACACCCTTATAAAAAAATGTTTTGTTCTCCTCCCCAATCAACGTGAGATCTCACAATCCACCCCCTTCGAGGCTTAGTGTCCTGGCAAATCTCACAATCCACCTTCGGCGAATCCTCCTTCGGGTGAGTGGAGCAACCGGCAACAATGGAAGCAATTCCTCCTTCGGCGAATCCTTTGAAACCCATTTCTGAAATCGAGAAGAACAAAGTGGAATGAAAAGATCAGAGAAGAAGAAGAAGAACATTTATAGAAAGCGTAGAAGGGTTGGGAAACGTTTACGCGTGAGGACTCCACTACTTGTTGACTAACCTTTGACTTTGACTTTGACTTTGACGCTCTCCCTTGGAAGAATGAGTCGCCCGGTTTAAGTATAAATTAAGAACAAATCAACCACCAACTCCACGTTTTATGAACCTCCTCTTTCTTTATTCATTACTGTAATCAGATATTATCTGCTTTTTACCCGTTATGTACTGAGATTAGTTTCACATTTCTAAAAAGCATTTACTATAGATAGGTTTCTGTACCTTCATGTTCAGGATCTTTATTGACACGTTGCCCAATGTCTTCACGGTTTTATAAGGCCTCTACCAAAGAGAGGTTTCTATACCCTTGTGCTCAGTGTCTTCACGATTTTATAAGATGTCTACCTGGGAGAAGTTTCCACACCTTTGTGCTCAGTGTCTTCACTGGCACACTGCCTAGTGTCTTCACGGTTTTATAAGGCGTCTTCGTGGGAGAGGTTACCACACCCTTGTGTTTAGTGGTCTCGCTAACACACTACTTAGTGTCTTCACGGTTTTATAAAGGTGTTTACTGGGGAGAGATTTTCACACCCTTATGCTTAGTGTACTCGTTAGCATACCACTCAATTTATAAACATATCAAATCCATTGCTAATAAATATTGTCCACTCTGGCTCATTATGCATAAAAAAAAGTTCAAAAGCATAATGAGCCGTGAACATGTTCAAAATATTGTCCACTCTGCCTCATAATTTTAAAACATGTTTGCTAGAGAGATGTTTTCACACCCTTATAAGAAATATTTAGTTAAGTCAGGGTGATCTCAGTGGCTGATTCAGTGTTAAGTCAGGGTTATCCCCCGATATAAGTAGCCGAGATCTTCTCTCTGTGTCAATCTATGGTATTCAGTATCCGTGGTATCCTCCGCTACCGTCAAAGTTGTTGAGCCTTCCTACAAGGTTCTAAAGTTTCTTCCCTCACCGCAGTATCTCTCGCTTCCCGTTGGAATTCTCCCCGGGATTTAATATAAGTTTTTCTGTATGTTCTTAAATTTTTAAAATTATATATTTATTTATTTATTTGTACAACATTAAAAGCTCGGAAATAGACTAAATTCATAATTTAACAAAATTAAGTAATATACTTAGCTCGTTTCCATTGAACTTCGCAAATCTAAATCAATCCATTAAATGATCCAATTGAAAAAATTGAATAGTCAAAACCTCTCGTTCAAAATTAAAGTCTCACATGGAAATCAAAATCAGTCTCTTTTGGTTACTTAATTCATTCAAAAGTCGACTACTCTGACTTATCAAACTCTCGACTCTTCAAACTTTTCGATAAAAATGTTTAAGCCTTAAATTTTGTATTAATAAGTTCGTAAGATTTTAGAAACAGTATTACGAGATTATTCCTTCAATTTTGTATATATTTCTTCCCATCCCAAAAATTGTTCCGACTGAATAGAGTTTAAAATAGATCACTTAAAATTTTTTAAAAAAATTTTAAAAATTTATAAAACAAAATATTTAGGAAATGGACTCGTAGTTTAACCCGTTTTTTAGTATAATACTTAATTCTCACTAGACAGTAAATATATATCATATTAACGACGATATTTAATACAATCACGAGGAGAAAAGATAAATTTCTTTTTCAAAAAATAATTAATTAAAATTTTTAATAGTAGTGAGTAGGAACATCTCCGACCAACGGGTAGCTAAGCATTAATCATTTTCTCAGGACAACACTTGTATCTTCATCGATCAAGAGGTATTACCTGAAAAATTATTCGATTAAAACATTACAATATAGTTATTTCTTAATAATCGTTGGAGTACAAATTTAAAATATTTTTTCTTTAATTTTTATTCATGTTGTAACATGCTCGTTGAATAATTTAATTTTGTATGTATTTAGTACTCGACAAAATTTAAAATAATTATGTTTGATAATATATTTATTAATCATAATTAACAAATTTATTATAATATTTTATATTATGAATTTTGTACAATTATTATTTTACATATAAACTATATTGTATAATATTTTTAAATTTAATAAAAACGAATTATATTTATAATTTATTTATTAAAAAAAATTATATAGTTATTTAATTAAAAAAATTATATATATTTTTTAATAGTGATTAGTATAACAATAATTTAGGCCAATTATGGTAGAATTGTTGGGTTCCCGGCATCTTCTTCCGACCCGCCACGCGTAAAGATCCGGCCGCCGAATACCCTGCGATTTCCTATATAAACTCTGTCTTCAAACCCCAAATTTCAATCCCCACCGGTTTCTCTCCGCCGCTCTTCGTCGGAAAAACCCATAAAATCCGGTACCCAATTTTTTCTTCTCCTTTTCTTGATCTTCGTCTTCTTCCTTCTTTCCCCAAAATTTGATTTCTCTGCAAAAATGGGTTTGAAAGGATTCGCCGAAGGTGGAATTGCTTCCATTGTTGCGGGTTGCTCCACTCACCCACTTGATCTTATTAAAGTTCGGATGCAATTGGACGGCGAGAAACCGCCGCTTCCATCTCTCCGCCCCGCCGTTGCTTTCAACGTTTCTCGTTCCGCCGCCGTTGTTACGCCGGAATCTTTCCACATTCCGCCGCCCCAACCTCCGCGCGTCGGACCCATCTCGGTCGGCGTGCGGATTGTCCAGTCTGAAGGCGTTGCTGCTCTGTTTTCCGGCGTTTCTGCCACTGTTCTCCGGCAGACTCTGTACTCCACCACTCGGATGGGTCTCTACGACATCCTGAAAACCAAATGGTCTGACCCGAATTCTGGAAATATGCCTCTGTCCCGGAAGATCACGGCGGGGCTAATCGCCGGTGGGATTGGCGCGGCGGTGGGGAACCCGGCTGATGTTGCAATGGTGCGAATGCAGGCGGATGGCCGGCTTCCGGTGGCTCAGCGGCGGAATTACGCCGGAGTGGTGGATGCCATTACGAGAATGTCGAAGCAGGAGGGTATTACTAGTCTGTGGCGCGGCTCATCGCTTACGGTGAACCGGGCGATGATCGTGACGGCGGCGCAATTAGCATCGTACGATCAGATCAAAGAGACGATATTGGAAAAGGGTGTGATGAAGGACGGACTAGGGACCCACGTGACAGCAAGCTTCACGGCGGGGTTCGTGGCGGCGGTGGCATCAAATCCGGTGGATGTGATAAAGACGAGAGTAATGAATATGAAGGTGGAGGCCGGGGCGGCACCGCCGTACAGTGGGGCGTTGGACTGTGCATTGAAAACGGTGAAGGCGGAAGGGCCAATGGCCCTTTACAAAGGATTTATTCCGACGATTTCACGGCAGGGACCTTTCACCGTCGTCTTGTTTGTCACACTCGAACAAGTTAGAAAATTTTTTAATCAATTTTGATTTTTTAGTTTTATTATAAATGAGAATAACTACACACTCAAGTTGATGTATTGAGTTATACTCAAATTAATTTAATATTTATTCGAGTTTTAAGAATAATATTTGTAATTCAATGAATCACATCAAAAGTTGGTTATTTAATATACCTACGCGACACTAAGAATCTTTAGTTAACCGTTAGGTTAACGTCACATTTTCCAACGTATATAATTGCATTGACCAAGGTAAATGAGAAAGACAAATCGACGAAATTTCGAAGTCTTACTGAAGTTGACATGTGTTGGAATAAGTGAAATAAGTGAGACATGCATACAACTTCTCTCGATGCGTGTTGAATTTTTCTGAGCGTGTAGCTTGGAATGAAAAAAGTCAAAACTGTCTCTTGTTATCCATTCTTCTTTTCTTCTTCATGTGTGCAACGGCTCCTTTCCGTTTCATCCTTCTCTTGTGACTCTTTCAATAACGATACTGGTCATAGTTTAACCGTCTTTTCTTGTTTAGCAGCAACGTGAACGTGGTTCATTCGACCGTGATTCTCCTCTCATTTGCACGCAGTGTACATAGATTTTGATAAATTTAAGATAATTGTACTTCAATGATCCTAAATACGCTTATGCCCCAGCTTATTTTTCAATTAATTATTTGATTTTAGGACATAAGGGCTAATTCAAAATATATAACTTTTGTAAGGTCTGAACTTTATTTGAGTGAATTCGTGAGATTTGAAGTGAATTTAGGTGAGTTATATGCACGTTTGGCGTGGCTTTTAAGAGTTTTGTCCAGTCAGCATTCATTGGATGAGACTGAGAAATGCAAGTTTGATAAAAGTTATTAGCGCATGTTCCGTGAGGGTGTGTGATGTGAAGTGAATTTGGGTAAGTTATGGTCGTTTCTTTTGATTCTAAGTGATTAGTTTGGCGGTGTTTGTCACAAGTAGAGTGAATTAGGCACTTGTTTTGGCTTTTTTAGAGAGTATTTTCGATGAGTTTATGCTATTTAAAGCGTGTTCGGGCGAGTTAAGTGCACATTTTTTTTGGCTTAAAAGATAATTAGTTTAGGCGAGTTCGTAAGATTCGAAGAG